CTGTCACTGTCACTGATAATGGCCTCGCTATCAGAAGACGAAGCAGTTGGCAAATCTGATAGCTCATCGGAGAACATATCTAATATTTCCTGTCCTCCGAGAGATCGCAACTGCTTTCGTCTCTGAGCCATGTTGAACTGGTAGCTGCGTGGTTCATACGTGCAAGCTTGGATTAGAACAAAGCCAATTTTGTTTAGGTTGTGACAGGAAATGACTCTGGTCGAGTTACTAGATAAGGTAGCAATCATTCCCGAGGTCATCTACGCAGTAGTTACGATTCAACGAAGCCACACAGCGATATATGGCGTTTTGCAACATAACGTGACCATAGAGGGCCATATGGCCCGCCCGGTCTGCAACGCTTGGAAACGTAGAGGGCCATATGGCCCATCCGGTCTGCAATGTGTTAATATGTCAGTAATCATTTTAGAAATTAATTTTGTGTTATTGTGTATTTTGTAGAAACAGTGTATTTCATACTTCAGTGATTGTTTTAGAAATTAGTTTTATATTATTGATAATGTAATTGTATTTATTTAGATGGAGAGATTTTCTGCATCTGGTTATGTTTAATTTATCAAAACTATGGACAGTAAATCTGACAAGGAGATAAACTGTGTGCACATGCAGTGAACTTTGCATAATCCCCATTTATTGAAAGCTTCACATCAACTTAAAAGTCATTCCTCCGGAGATTCATTAAATAGAGATTTCACTGTATGTGTATGTGTGTTCTGGGTCATTCAGAGTCCTTTGCCAAATGTTAGGAGGTAGGTGCAGAGATGATTTGGGGCAGAAAATGTAAACAAAACAGTTACCCAGTTTAACCACCAGTTCAGAATTACTGCATTTCAAACTTCAGTCTTATCCCCTCCTTTATATATTCATGTCATGGAGCCTTCTTAACATTGCAAGATGGAACTTGTACTGCATTTGCTTGTGGCTCACATTACTTCTAACACCAAAGCACTGATAGTTATAGCAGCAAAATGAGATGGCATGATTACTGGTGCATTGTATACTGATATGCATTTCAAACGCAGCTTTTGTGATGGAAGTGCTGCAGTTGTATCAAGGGAAACAGTTGAAAAACAATTTTTGAAACACATGGATTAATTGTGGGATTCTGACCTTTGTAATCTCCTGATCTGAACGCACTTATGTTTTTCTTATGTGGATGCATCAAAGAAAACGTTTATGGTATAGAAGTACAAGATTTGGATGACCTGATCAGTCATAACCTGGTAGACACAACAACAGACATTAGGGGTTAAACTAGACAACTCTTTCATGTCAGCAGTCCATTTGACATCACAGTGAAGAGTGCATGCAAGCTGGAAGAGGGAACTTTGAGCTGTTCTGGTGAGGAAATAGGTAGAGCTGTGTGCAAATCATGACTCTTTCAACAGACCGGTGTGTTAAACATAATGTACAATTCAAACTGGAAAGAGCTAATAACTTGGAATCATTGCTTTTCATTCGTTGTTATTAAAATGTAATAAATGAAGATGTCGAATGTAACTAACCAAATGTGTGTGTGTGAATAGACAGTTAACAATTTTCTTTAAAAGTGGCATAATGTCATGACTCAAACAACGATTTGTTTACATTTTCTGCTCCAAATTGTCTGCCCAGCGATCACCAGAAAGTATATCCTAGAATTATGAATTGCCATTATGTATCCTGTTCTGTTCTTACTCCACTTATACTCCATTATTCAGTGTGTACATCCTTCAGGGTTGTAAAACCCTGTAGTTTTGGCACATCCCAACAATTTGGAGCAACATACTGCTTGCATCTTCAGGGTTGAAGAGTAAACAAAGCAAAAAACCTACTTCTGCTGATTTCTTGTTTGGCTTACTCTTGGACCCAGAAGATGAACACAATATGTTCCTCCTAAGTGTTGGACTGTCTCTGAGCTACTTGGTGTTACAACTCAGAAGACCACTCTTCATAGCCACCTCTGTGAGAACCTCAGATCCAACATTCTGTCTGTGTTAGGTGATCTATCCTCATACACGTGAAGAGGCATTACATAGGGGCCAGACAGATGATGACCTTGCAAGCCACTTAGAACGTGTCAAATTGTCCTACCTGCTCTCTCGTGAAGGAGGCTGGGATGCCATTGCAGACTGGATTGATGTGCTCTCTGGTGGAGAAAAACAGAGAATAGCTGTGAGTTCTTTGTCATTTATCCAAAGTGTTTTAACTCTGCATGCCACAAACTAATTAATTAGGCTCTGCATACTTGTGTTAAAACTGCCAGAGCTGAAGAGATGGGCTCAGTGTTAATCACTTTGTAGATCATTTCTCTCAGTAGATAGCATCAGGTGTAGAGAGGAAAGATGATGCTTTCATGCTATCTACATCTCTAGCTATTCGAAGATGATCTGCAGAAGAATTGTCAGTCTTTGTGTTGCATAGCATTTACTGTTAAGAAGCCTCGACATAAAGCTGGTACACCTACTGTGGGGCTTTGCTGTCATAGGGTTAAAACTACCGTGTTTCAGAAATTGGTTCTGTTTTCATTTTCAAGTGAGGATGATACAAAATAAAACCTGTGTCATGACCAGCAATTGGCAGTCATCTAAACATGTCATACAGCCTTGTGAATAAAACTGTAAACTTCAAGCACTAGCATCATCTGATTCTATAACCCCAAGCCAGTAGTGATAGTGCAGTTGCTGTAGCTAGATGATCTATATTTTTATTACTGTCTCTTGATTGTTGTTTTAAGATACATGCACCATCACAGTTTTTGTTACAGTGTCTGGGATTTTGTGCTATTGTGACAACGTTTTCGGAAAGTTAAACTATCTTTAGTGGAGGGAAGGGCACAGTCTCTCATCATCTGGGGTGCATTATGCTTGCACCATCCGTATCTTCACCATTTCCATCTTCATCACTTTTACTTCAGTAACTCTTCATAAGGAATTACATCTTCTTTGATTCATAGTGTTAATAGCTCTGGGCAAACTTGTTGTAGTTTGTGGTTCCTAATCTTGAAAAATATTTATATTTCTGTCTTTCTCACTTGCTATACTGTTGGTGTGATATGATGTGAATGTCAGCATTTACTGCAGCTTAGAAACAGAACACACTAACAGCTTAAAGAATTTTAAAAAATGAACGTAATTTTCTTACTCAAATTCAAGATGACCCTTAAGTTTTTAACTCAGGAAATATATGGCAGAAATTTTGTTTTCCTTTCTGGTACATGCAATACTAAACTGAGATATGGGTTGGAATTTTATTCATTAGATGGGAGTAAGATACTAAAATGAAAACACTAATTCATGGAAAGTTATATGTTGGGGTTTTGACTAAGACCACAAAAATTAACACAGAATACAGAAAACTTACAGTGAGAAACCCAAAATTGGGGTTCTACTGTAACTTCAGAATGTATTCAGTACAATATCAATTTCATTGTTACGATCTGGTATTTGATCCTTCCTCTTTTTTTTTTTTTTTATTTCTTTTCAAAAGAGAGAGAGAGAGAAGAAGAACTATATTTGGAGGTCATGTTGGTCAGTCCTGTCTATGACCTAAAGTCAGTGCTTATATCTTTGAATTTTATATGGCAGACTTTTGGGAAAATTTGTTGAGCAATACTGATTTTCAGCCACATTGATCCATAATAAAGCCTGGTTTATGTAAGTCTATAAGTGGACTTTTGCATATACTCCATAAGCTCTTTGCAGATATTGTTATAATTTTATATGGTAGACTTCACCACAGTTTGATGCACAGGTTCACACAGTTCCATGGTCAACTACTGATACATTATTAAACTGTGATTTACATAAGCACATAAGTGTCTTTTTGATGTTTCCTGCAAACTCTTCCATGCAGTTCCCATTTTCAGCAATATTATTCCATAACAAGTCTAGTGTGCATAATGGTGTGTATTGCATACACTGTTTCACAAATTTCATTGAAATATGATATGAAACTTTCACAAATTTTCATTTCAGTAGTTCTGTTTTTAAGTTTAATGAATCTCAAAGAACAGCATTGGTAATTTTGTATGCTGTATTACTGAGTTACACTAAAAGGATCCATCTATCTTATAGAGCACAGAACGGATCGGGAGGTTCAGACTTTGATGTTGGTGATAATGATTGTTGTTTTGTTGTTGAGAGGAGGAGAAGGAGGACAATGATGGTGTGGAGTACACCCTTTTGAGTCATGTTATGGCAGAATGTTCCTCATCACTTTTGTAACTCATGACTAAAGTACTGTGGGATGTCAATGTTCACTGAGACAACCACTTGAAACTATAACAACAAATGTTTGTTGCGCTTAGAACGGGTATCACAGACTAGTTGGGACCATGTCTGAAGAATACTGGTGGAGACTTTTTGTAGCGGTTATCCCAGTCTAGTGATAATGGTGCTGAATGGAGGCCCCTAAAGGGCCATTTGTCTAGCTGTGTCTAGTCTGGTGTTCTTCTTTTGCTGCCACTCGGCGATTGCAAGGTGACGGCGTAGCGGTGAGTCTGGCTGGCTAGCGGAGCTACGGTGAGTGTGCCAGCAAAGTTAGTTGGTGCTGTTACTGGAGAGTTGCAGCTGCGGTGATCTCTTGCTGGCAGTGTAGAGACAATAGGTGTGACCGCAACTAGCCTGTTGGAGGCCCAAATTTTTGTACCCTTACCACTGGGCAGTACATGGACCAGTTGGCAGTCGACCTGCAGTTATGAGCGCTGATTGAGTAGCACTTATGTGCAGACAACCAGGCCACAAGCTGTAGCATATAAATATCGCCTACTTTTGGTACATTGCGGGAGTTGTCTGTGATGCACTGTGGAAGGTTCCTGCAGTACAATAGGCACAAAGTTATTCATTAATTTCTCCCTATGTTACAGATGGCTCGGTTATTCTACCACCAGCCACAGTTCGCAATTTTAGATGAATGTACGTCTGCTGTAAGTGTAGATGTAGAAGGCAGCATGTATCAGTATTGCCGGGAAGTTGGTATTACACTTTTCACTGTCAGCCATAGACGTTCACTCTGGAAGCACCATGAGGTAATTACAATACATACCAAACTAGTGTCAAATGCTGTATATGCCAGAACAGTAATGAACGTGTTAACTTTTGTTTGGCACTGAACTACGTTTGTCTTCAGTAAAGACCACGGACAAGATTGTGAGGTATAATCTCTACTGGGATACACTAAGTTTCCACATGCATTCTTTGTATGCAACAGGCATCCCCCCCCCCAAAGGAGCCCAGATGTGGAAAGTGGACACACCAAAAACAAACATACTTCGGATAGGTCTTTGTTGAACAATTGTTGATTAATTTTTTTGGTGTTTCCCCACAAACATAACAGGCTTGGGCTGATTTATTGTCAACAAATTAGTTGCAAAGTTTGCTGTCTTCTCATGCGTAACTTCTACAGTGTCATCATAGTGCTTAACTAATTATACACAGGGACAATTTTACCCTTTTTTATCTCTCATACAAGACACTTGTTTTTTTATTAAGTTGCTAGTTCCTTATTTTAGTTGAATTTGTATAGGTCTACAATATTTGGTTGAGAAGATGGCCAAGGATTTCCCAAAACACAGTTTTTATATCTGAATTTCCATTTGTTTATGCATATATAGGATCAGAGTAACAAATTAGGTTAAAAAGATGTTGCTTATTATATTGTTTCTCAAAATAAACATCTGCTAGTATTGTTGCTCATCTGTGCTGCCATAGCAACCCTACTTGCTGAACATCACCAGGTTCCGTCATTCAAAGGGCAGTGACTGAAATCGTTTGAGGCTCTGAACAATTTATCTGACTGTATGGTCTAATAAACTTTGCCATTTTACTTCAGTACAAACTTCTAACATGGTGAAAACATCATTCTCCTCATAGCAGAACAACTTCACATGTCATGCAGTATTATATGTCAGGTGCAGGTCTATGTTTCTACTTTTTGTTTGAAGTCTCAGCAGACCATATTGATGCTTTTATAATTTTGCATCCATTACCAGCTCCACACATTCGTGGTCAGTATTATTTTTCTCATCTGTATGTGAAATGCTGAACTTTTTGTGTTGTCAGAAATTTTGTAGCATGGGTTTGTATAATTATTGTATTCATGACTAATTTGGCTGATTTTCTTGAGCAGCAAAAGCAAGCTCGTCAGTAAAGAGCAGAAATGTATTTTTTCCCTGATATTGTGCAGTTAGAATTTAAAACCTCCACTTCAAATTCTGAGAGATTGCCATGTGAGGATTTTAATTCCCTTTGCTTAGTAGTTTAATCCTGAAAGTATGACATTACTGTTGCAGTACTATCTTCAGATGGATGGACGAGGATCTGTTCAATTTAAACCAATAGATACCGACACAGAAGAATTTGGATCATGAAATTAATTGGGTAATTGGGTGAATAATTTGTGTGAATGTTTTGTGGTGAAGTGCTTTATGAAAAGGAAAGGCAAACTTACCATGTCATAAAATAGTGGGAGAATGTACTCAATTTTGAACATTTATTTTTTTATTATATTGGAGTTTTAATGTTTGAACTTGAGACCCCTTATCAGAGCAGATTTTTTTAACTGTTGTGAAGTCTCTAGCGTAATATTAAGATTAATCTTAAAAATCATGCTGACTTCTTGTTTAGTTCAGTTTAACATTTCATGCCATTGTATAATGTATCTATCCATACAATATGGAATTTGTTCATGAATATAGAGTTGATAGTAGGTGTACACTGGGTGTATCACACAAAAGAAGCAAATGCACATTGGTTCTTGAAGAACGTGTGTATATATATATATACACACACATACATACATACATACATACATACATACAGAGTGTCTAAAAATGATGGTAGGGGTTCGAGAACCAACGTTTAGAAAAATGAGAAACGTATTCAACAAATCACTATTTTATTTCATAGTGTTCCTTAAATATTCTTGAACATAATTAGTAAGTTTCCACATGTCCACCGTTCATGACCCTGCATATATGCAATCGATATTCCACTTCTTGCCATACACGCTGTGGCATATCTCTTGTTACCTGCTCAGCAGCTTCTCATAATCTTGCTTTCAAGTAATCAGGTGTTGAATTTTTTCCATATAAACATAATCCTTTACATGGTCCCAGAAAGAAAGAATCATGTGGTGTCAAATTGGAGCTCCAAGGTGGTCACAGAATTGAAACACCCTTGCCAGTCCATCTTCCAGGAAATGGTGCAGGGTACTAAACTGGGGAGTGAGGGAATGTAGTGGTACAACATAATGACCCTGGTGGCCACACATGAAACTATTTGAGTGGAGGAATATGAAGGTACAACATTCAGTGTGATGCCTTATGTGTGTTTCAAGACAGAGCCTTCTGAACCCCATTATTATTTTTCAGGCACAGTGTATGTACATAGATACATATAAACATACATATACAACTGAGAGGAGAAGAGAAATGTGATGTGAAAGGTGGAAGTAAAAATGAACATAAAGTATACAGTAATAGGTCACGCTGCTGTCCTGCCATTGTTACCACTTGTATGGTGATGAAATTTTACTTAAGCTGATTAGCTCTGTAAAAAACTGTTCATCTATATGACAGGGTTTTCCTACTGTATTGCTTGACAGGCCTATTTCTGGAGTGTGAATCTCACATCCATCTTGTGCCAAGGTTAAAATTGGATGGAGCCTTATCTCCACTTCGCCATTGTGATTCTTAAACACAGAGGCAACTTGATCTTTATTTTCTACTGTATTATTTATGCCTTTTTATTTTACATTTTCTTTGAATGAATTGTATTCTAGAACAGATTGTTTTAGCTGAAGAAGTTGAAAAGAGGTAAATTGTCTACGAGTATTTAATGCCTGAAGGTGATGTAATGTTTCCTCTACGGTTTACATGTTCATGCTAAGAACAAAATATGGTAAATCAGATGAGTGCTTCTCTGCATGTTCTTGGTATTTGACACCAGTAAAAGGACATCTCTTAACACTTTAATTTAAACATTTGTAGCAACCTGCAGACTTTCTATGAAAATGTAAAAGGAAAATGTGCTGAAGTTCTCAATATGAGAAGGGTCGGAATATGCCCCTTTCAGTTAGATGGTTTGTAGAAGTTTTATAGCATCTTACACTCTTTCCAGTTCCATGTAAGGAGATTTACTTATTTAAGTTCTTTATTAGTTCTCTAGAAATATTAGATAATTTGGTATATAGTGGCATTCATGTTTCATTTTAACATCACACTTGGGAGTATAGGACTCAGTCCTGATTCCTAAGTACTTTAATTGTACATTCAAATTTTAACCCTGCATTATGAATGGATCGTAACATCCTAACATTTTCTTGTTTTAAACAGTTTCATTGTTTTCTGGCTCAGTGATTTATTTAATTTTCCTCTGTTGTTACTACCACTGCCACTGCAGCCACTGCCTCCAGTACTGCTGTGTAGGTCATTCAGAAAGTAAAGACCATTTTCCTATAAAAAATAAATGAATAAATTTAAAAAATTGTATTTTATGCCATTACTGCAGATATTAAATCGTTCCACCAGCTTCGTGGCAGTCGCCAATGTTTCGTTTGCATCTGCATTCACATATTGATTTGCAAGTCTCATGCTATGCCCTCTGTCAACAGAACCCACTAAACATAGTGTATGCTAGATTTACAGATTCTGAATGATATACCGAACTTGGCAGCCATTAGCAGTACAAGAGCAGGCAAATAAGTGTGAAGACTAATTTTTAATTTCATGCCGGACAATCTGGTGATGCTTTTACTTGGAATGTTAGGCGATACAACAAGACAGAGCTCAGATGGAAGGTTTTGATAAGGTATTTATTGAACAGTAGCTTGTTAGACGACTGTCATCAACTTGGTGCAAATGTGAAAATGGAGCATATGATGGAACAGAGAATGAATATGCATTTTTGTGTTAAACTGCAGAAATCACCAAGTGAAATGTTAAGAGATGTTAAAATCAGTTTATGGTGAATCCCCTGGCCAAAGAAGCCATGAATGTCAAAATCCAAAATCAAAATAATCTTGATCTGATTTTTTGACATTAGGGTATCATTAACTTTGATTTTGTACCTAAAGGGTCCACTGTTACTTAGACATTCTTCATGAAGGTGTTGAAAAGACTTATGATGCCATGAGGCACAAGTGAGGAGAGTTACGGAGAGATAGGTCATTGATTCTTCACCACGACACTGTGATGGCACATTCCTCACTTCGTGTGTCACAGTTTTTAGCAGGAAAAGTCATCTCTGCCATTGTACTCTCCTTTCTTGGCTCCAGCTGACATCTGGCTCTTTCCAGAACTCGAGTGTACTGAAAGGAAAGGGTTTCTCTGATGTTGAGGACATTTAAATCATCCGTGAAAAAATGTTGATAGACATTCCTGTTCAGGATTTTAAAAACTGTTTTGATCATTGGCAGAAGCATGGGGAACATTGTAAAGAATTGGAAGGAGATCACATTGAAAAATTATAGGTTGCTAATATCTGCAGCTCTTAAAGTAAATTTTTAAAAAATTAGCCATATTACTTATTTTGCCTGACCTTGTGTGTCTTGCCTGGATGGTATACAGCCCTTCCATAGAGTCAAGGAGTGATGTATTGCTATGTTTGATTTGGGGGGCGCACATTAAAACTTAGTTATTCATATACTGAGTTGCTGTTTAAATTTTTAAAAGTTTTGGAGGGCCTTGAATTTTATTCCTCTTTTACTGTCATAAATGAAGTTTTGTATTACTTCAGCTTTTCCAATTGCAAAGTTCTTGACAGAAAAGCAGTAAACAGCAGGTAGTTCTTTGAATAGTACCATGTAAATGTTGGCTATTGTATTATACCCATCCACATAAACTTAACTTAAAGCATGTGAATTTCATCTACTGACATTTTCCTGCTACTTAAGTCTAAAATGACATGCCAGAGGACAAGAACTTATCAAAATTTTCTGCTGTGCATATTTCTTCATTTTATTTACTGTTAGCTGCATAATAGCTGTATCAAGACTGCTTTCAAATATGTCCACTGTATCACAAATTAGATCTGTCAAACTGTGGACCATGGATACCACAAATTGTTTCCCATACTGCAGATAATGTGCTAGTATTTTGCCACACAAACTTCATTGGCGTACCTCCTATTCATACACCGTGTGGCACAGTTGTTTGTTCATTACCATCATTTACACTGTAACTGTCACTAATTGCGCATGCTCACGGAGTCACTAATTGGATGTAATCATCATCAGAGCCACTATTATCACCTGAGCTACATTGCCCAGAACTTCGTTTACAACTTCACTAATTTTGAACTCTGTAAGTGCACAGCTGGTTGATGGCCTGGCCATGATGATTGTGATGTCAGATATTTAGAGTCTCAGTTGTCAGCTGCACAGTAACTAAGGTCACTGATACATAAACAGAGAGGTCATTCGTTTTATCATTTCTTGATGCAGATCCTATCTCAATTGAATATTTCATTCCCCAGTGTTAGGGCAGAGAAATTAAGCATGCAGTTGAGTCTACTGTATACATGAAACCATGAATAAGACATTTAAATGCCTGACTTACAGCATACATGAAACCACACTGAAAGATTAAATGTTGAAAATTTTCAGAAATTTTGTTTTTCTTTTGCCTGTTGCCATTCCACTAGTGCTTCATTTTCACCACCCCTGAGCTTTCATTTCTTATAACCAGCCAGCATAACATCACACCATGTACTCTTAAGTATGAGGGTATAAGCATGGGATTCACTGAACTCTGTATTTGAACTTGAAGTGTTTTTAGTTGCTTGTCAAAAATTAGATCTTGCAAAGAAATAAAATAAGATCATAAAGCTGTTTAAAATTATGTCTTCAGTGGTTAAGAAAAATTATTAATATTTTACATTTCTCTTCTGTGTAGGTCAAATATTTGGATGAGTATGATATATTTTACAAGAGCTTTCAGTTTTCTTTCCTTGTTACTTGTGCATGAAGTAGATATGCTGGACTTCTTAAGTGAGGTTAAGTACACCATTGTTTTGTGCTGGGTTGGACATTTCACCAAAGTGTATGTATACGTGCAATATAGGAACTTTAATTTAGTCTATTAAAAGGGTTAATATTGGAAATACGGTATATGGGAAGTTTATAAGTTACTGTCAGTTGTTAAGCCATGAAATTATTTCCTCAGAGATTGTTGAATTTGTGTATTTGGATGTGTACACAACTGTTGAAATTTACTTGGCCATCTTTGAAGGCAACTATGTATCAAGTTTTGTGACTTGAAATACAATTATTTTAGCATTTTGTAAACATTTAGTTATTTATTCTATCTCTGTTTTATGTACAGTGAACGCTGCGTTTTGGAATCAGGAATAATGTTTTCATTCATGTAACATCACTTTTATGAAGTCCCAGTTAGATATATACTACTAATACATAGAAAAACCAACATTTATTATAATCAGTGCTGAGTTATTGTTATCACTTTTTTTTGCCTTATCATGGCCTTGAGGCCTGTGCAGTGGAAGTGATTACATAACATCCTAGTCTGTTCTTGAGCTCTGACATGAATATGAACCTTCTCAGAAAAGACAATAGAATTTTTCTAATTCTTAAGTTTGGTATTTTTGTTGTTTGTTTTTAATGGTATATACAAATTTCCAGAAACAATGTTGATGACTTTCTGATAGAAATAGTGGATAGTCAGTTTAAATTATTTTATATTTCTCGATTTTAAAGTTTTATTTCTGTCCACTTCCACCATTTTATGTACACATTTCCACTCTGCATAAATAAAGAATGCCAAACAGCCGCATTCTTGTTTCATTGGTTATTGTTATCAGCCAGATTTTGTTATCAATTAAGCTCTGTCCCAACATAATCAGAGTAAGTGGGGTCCACTGTAGTATGTGATATGCTGATTGTGTTTTTATTTGTGTATATGCAGTTTAAAGACTTCATAATTTAAACCACTACAGTAGATACCTCAGTTAATATGTTGGGTTGCAAGCTGAAGGTCTGGGATTCATTTCTTGATAGGTGCTAGATGTTTCTTCCACTACCATGTCCCAACCAGCTTTGAGGAGAAGGTTCACCCAGTCTCTTATCCACTGAACACCAAGGTCTGTTTCTCTTGGAATAAAGTTCTTGGAACTTCTAATGTCTATGTCAAAAATGCACAGATCTTTACCACCAAGCCTCTCATATCCCCTTCATGTTATACTGATTCAGGCACAGGTAAATTTACATCTTTATTTCATGTATGTTATGCTGTTGATATATAACTGAGTAAGGGAAGCTGGGATAGTGAGCAGGCTGTGGGCTGGACAACAGTTGTGTGATTTCTGCCAGGGGCAAGATGGTTCCCTTCTCCACAGTATTCACACCAAATCTAAAATAACATATATGCACTGCATATATTACATTACATTGCATGGATCCAAAGTTAGTCAAAATGACTGTAGGATGTGGAATATGTCATATAAATACAAAACATATGTACAGACCCAATGGAGTTCTCACACAAGAGAAACCAAGAATACACAGTGACTACACACAGGGCTATTTCAAGATACATAAGTTATTTTCTAGACAATAGGTATTCATCAACAGAGTAGAATGAACGTGTATTTAAGTATTTCAGTGCTATTTTAAATCGTTCCTTTTCATTCATAAGACCTTTGAGTTCAGATGGCACAAAGAAGAGCTTTTGACAAGACATCACTTTTTTGCACCTGTAATACTCATTTAACCAGCTAAAATATTTATGGATGGATTCATTTTCAGGTCACACTCTTTTTCTCGTGATTAAACAACTCACAGTAGACTTTCTTGCATTCTAAATATTTCTGCTTAGAGGAAGTACCATGTTTAGCCCCTACCTCATTTTGCTAATGCTTCTTACAGCCCCTTTACAAAACATTCTCTGTCATGTCAGTTACATTTGTGTCCCTGTACCTCGAATGTTGCTCTACTCTCATTATTATAAAATATTTGGAGGTATTATAATGTAAATGAAATGAAATACGAGGGTTCGAACTTTAATAGTGGCAACTATTTATTTACAGTTAATACAAAATATTTTGAAGTTTTACTGTCCTTCAGTATACTCACCAGCATTATGTACAACCCTTTGCCAGTGATGTGGAAGTCATAGGATACCTTTAGCAGCGCCTGTTGTGTTGATAGTTCGAATGGAGCGGTCTACTGCCTGAAGAATCTCTGGAACAGTCCTGAAGCGAATGCCACGAAGTGGTTCCTTCATCTTAGGAATCAAGTCAAAGTCACAAGGGCTTAAGTCCAGGGAGTATGGTGGATGGTACAGCACTTCCCAGCTCCATCGATCGAACAAATCAGCCACAGCGTGCGCTGCATGCAGCCAAGCATTGGCCTGCAAAATGATGGGTTGGTTCTGCAGAAAGTGTCGCCGCCGCTTCTTTCTCAAAGCTGGTCGCAGGTTGTGTTCCAAAAATGAACAGTAATACTGCTCATTGACAGTCTGCTGTCAGGGAACGGTATGCATTAGGATAACATCATCACAGTCGCACAGAGTGATGCACTCTAGCTGCAATTTGCTAGATAACTTTGTGGTGACAGTTTCTTACACATGACTTCGTTGGCTGGTTCACAGCGGTAGGTACACTGCTTGCTGTGAGGTGCATACAAATTTTGCCTGTGAATCAATATACTTGATGGCATAGTGTTTCACAGGGAGCAGTGCAGTTCATGGGTGGAAGTTATTTGTGTATATCACCCATGTGAAATATGGATCTGCTAGAAAATACAAAAATTTTATGATGAAAGAGTGTCCAGCAGACAAACAATTCAAAATTTGGTGAATAAATTTATAACAGGACTCTTAATAGACAAGAAACAAAAACATAAGCCCCTGCTGAATGCTAACTGAGGAGAAGTTAGATATGATAGGGGTCAGACTGGAATATACACCTAGAAATCACTGAAACGTCTAGCTCAAGAGACTGGAGTGTCAAAGCCTAATGCAAGAACGGCAACACAATGCTAAAGCTTCAACCCTACAAAACAAAAATAATTCACGCATGCATGATCCAGCTAGAAGGGTTGATTTTTTTTTATTGGTTTCTACAGTGGGTCATCGAAGGTGAAATGGATCTGCAGTTGACATTCTTTTCTGATGAAGCATGGTTTCTCTTACAGGGATACATAAATACATAAAATAATCACTACTCTAGTTCACAGAATCCACATATAACCTACGAAGTCCCTCTCCATCCATTGAGAATTGGTGTCTGATGTGTTGTTATTGTGTTCTTAACAAACAGTTAATTGTGAAAGATACCTACATGTACAGGGCCAGCATTTTCAACACTTACTGTGATCTGTGAATTGTAACTACTTCATTCCGAATGTTATCGGCCGTGAGGCATGCAAAATTCCTACATGCCTTGCAGTGAGCAGCTCACCTGTCACTATGAAGAGCAGAGCCATGGAACCAGTCAGCAAAGTAAAAGTCCTCCCTCTAATTCCATCAAGTGTAACTAGTGTATTTATGTATTTTTATATTAAACTGGTTACACTTGATAGAAATTCTATTCTCTTAAATCAAATTGCTTTATTAATGTAAAATACCTATGATTATTGGTTGCAGTCCAAGGCCGGTTGAATCGTACACTTTCTCTTCTAATATAATATGTGTGGTCATACACTTTGTTAACTAATGAAGTAGTAGTACTTAAACGTTTTCTGGAATAGCAATGACATTGTTGCTTAAATATCAACGAGCCAAATGGCCACTTATTGTAATAAACTCATGAGATTTTAATATTTTGCCTGAGCAATTTCTGAGCTGTATTCATCCTTTTAGAGATAAGGAGTAATTTGTATGGAAGTTCTATTACATGCCAGAAAAGTAAACCCAGATTAAACGAAGTATGTATTCAATTGTCATCATCAGAGTGCATGACAGAAAGATAATATAAAGGCAGTTAATAAATCTTTAAAAAATGTGGCAGAGATGAATCAGAACTCCCATCATGAAGAAGTTAAGAGCAAATTAAATTTGTGGAATTCTTGGTACTGTGACATATGGGCCATTTCTAAGCAGTGGCTGGGTAAACACGTCCTAAAAAGCTGGAATAGCAATGAACATGTGGAAGACCATGGCTAGGCAACGGGCCTATAAACATCCCCACAACACACTAACACAACAATAGAACGTCTATTGCTAGGCAACCAAGCAGTAAACAAGCTTCCTCACCAATAGAGACCGTGTTTTCTATGTGGTGTGTTTGGAGTCTATATATAACAGCAGCCCTCCACCATGATCTTGTGAGTCATAGGAGGCGACGAAAAGGGAAGTCTCAAATGAGACGGTAAAATATTGTCACGAATCCCTAGAGACTTAGACCCAAAAGAGACTGCACTGGCAAGGACCAGCAGCATATACAAAATACAGACCCATCCTCTCGTCAGAGAGGGCACCCAATGAAAACAAGACTGTAACTGTCAAACAGCAATAAATATCTGGTGTCAAGACTTACTGACTGACTGACTGACCGTCAGTCGCAATGTGACTTTGACAGACGAAACCACTCCCTCACTGTATAAGAGAAAAGTTACATATATTCGAGGAAAGGGTAGATATATAAAGAGGATAAATAGGCCATTTTATGATACAAATCTGTCATCCATGTGATACATAAAGCATTTATGATGCAAGAAATAGCGACTTCCAGCCAATAATACATAAGCTTCAGTGTTATAATAGTAAGCCAAATTTTGCTGGCTAACATTTAAAACAGATGCATTATTTGCACCCACAAAAAAGTCAGAAACAAGTCCCTCTTCAAAAGGCAAATCATCGATCTTCTAAAAAAAATAAAGAATACCACCATTCAGTAGGGAAGTTTATGAATGATTCTTTTATAAGTACTGGTTTCTGATGCATGTGATATAAATTATTCCATCTGATAGATTATAAATATTTAGATTTCATTAACTGTTACGATATGGTTATACTCTTAATAACATGATTACTTTATCTTTAAATTTGTAGGTGTACTATAAACTCATTAATTCTATTTGGAATAAGGAAGAATTGCCTGATCAGTGGAAGGAGTCTATTATTGTACCTATTTACAAGAAGGGCGATAAAACTGACTCTAGTAATTATCGTGGGATATCATTTGTATCAACTTCATACAAAATTTTATCCAGTATCTTCTCAAGATTAAGTCCATACGTAGATGAAATTATTGGGGATCATCAGTGTGGTTTCGACATAACAGATCAACTACTCATCAGATCTTTTGCATTCGTCAAACACTGGAGAAAAATGGGAGTACAGTGAGACAGTACATCAGCTGTTCGTAGACTTCAAGAAAACCCATGATTCATTTAGGAGGGAAGTATTGTACAATTGGGGTACCCATGAAACTAGTTAGCCTGACTAAAATGTGTTTGAATGAAACCTGTAGTAAAGTCCATATAGGTAAATATTTGTCTGATAATTTTCCTATCCAAAATGATCTAAAGCAAGGAGATGCTTTTGAATTCTGCTCTAGAATATGCCATTAGGAAGGTCTAGAAAAACAAGGTGGAACTGAAATTAAATGAGATACATCAGCTGCTAAGTGAAACTGAGATGTGAACATTTTGGGAGATGACATAGATACCATAAAGAAAAACACAGAAACTTTAATTGACGCTCGTGGGGAGGTTGGTATAGAAGTAACAGCAGAGGAAACTAAATGTAAGTTGCTGTCTTGTCAGAAGAATGCAGGGTAAAATATTGACATGAAGATAGCTAACAGACCCTTTGAAAATGTGGCATAGTTTAAGTATTTGGGAATGTCAGTAACAACTCAAAATTTAACTCAGGAGGAAGTTGAGGTACTGGATTCAGGTAATGCTTGTTACCATTTAGTCCAGAACTTCTGTCTTCTGCTCTCTTTTTTAAAAACTTAAGAATTGGAACATACAAAAGTACAATTTTGCCCATGGCTGTGTATGAGTGTGAAACTTGGTCTCTGACATTAAGGGAGGAACATAGGCTGAGGGTGTTTGAGAACAGGGTTCCGAGGAGAATATTTGGACCAAAGTGAGGTGAAGTGACAGGAGATTGGAGAAAAGTGCATAATGAAGAGATTAATAACTTTTACTCTCCTCTAAGTATAATTAGAAAGATGAAGCCAAGGAGGGTGAGATGAGCACGGCATATAGCATGAATGGGGCCGAAAGCCGGAAGGAAAGAGACCACTTACAAACTAAGATGTAGGTGGGTGGATAATATTAAAATATGTCTCAGATAGGATGGGGTGCTATGGACTGGATTGATTTGGCTCAGGATAGGGACCAGTGCAGCGGTCTTATGAACACAGTAATGAACCTTCGGGTTCCAAAAAATGTTGGAATATTCTGGAGTAGCTGCACAACTGGTAGCTTCTCAAGAAGGGCTCAGGTCCATTAAGTTAGGTATACTATGTAATTAAGATAATAATAATATTGTATATATTAATAAGACTAATAATTAAGCCTCATTTTAGTGGCCTTTTTGAAATTCTATTTTTTCAGATATAGGATATAAGGTTAAGATAAAGTTATCCCCATGCTTAACTAATTAAGCACTATGCCATGAAGAAGTATAAGGGAATGGATGTGTAGATCCACTTTCTCTTGAACTTGGCACTAGCTGGAAGTGTGGTCACTTTCACGCCCCGGCCGCTTTACGCCCGGAGAAAGAGCATTTTTTACCCATTGCATAGGAGGCTGGGTGGACCCCAGAGCTGGTCTGGACAACGTGGAGAAAATTCTTGACTCTACCAGGACTCAAGCTCTGACTCCACAGTCGTCCAGCCCATAGCCAGTCGCTATCCTGGCTCACATACAGGAGGTAATAATGTTATTTTTGTAACATATCCAACATTAATTGTTGTGAATAAGTTATATATATATTGCTAATGGGGTGGGACTAAGTCCCTTGTACTGCGGCAACTTCTGGCCTATTGTACTAGCCCCAGATGATAGGTGAGGGTGATTGTGGAGAAATTGGTGCAATGAGATTGGCGGGGTAAACCGAAGTACTCAGATAAAACCTGCTCCAGCGCCACTTTGTCCACCATAAATCCCACTTGACCAGACCCGGGATCGAACCCGGGCTGCCGCGGTGGGAAGCCAGCGACTAACAGCTTGAGCTATGGCGCGGGCACTAGTGAATGAGTTGGTTCAGTTGGTAATGCTACTGACTTGTGTTTGGAAAATGTCCAGTTCGAATATCGGCTTGGACACAAACTATTTTCATGGAGGTTTTGTACGTTTTCCTTTGCCGTTCTAGGCAAATGCAGGGGTCGTACCACAAATCAGATTAAGACAATCCGCCCCACTCCACTAAACGCCTTAATGGCATAGTGCTTAATTAGTAAAGCACAGCGAAAACGTTATCTTTTATCAACTGGCAGTTCGAATTTCTAATACAATACAGTCTTGAGTATACATGTAACCGATTCAGCGTTACTCTTATCTTCCTTTGTTCGGCTGTAATAGAAACGATCTTTTTAGGCCGTTCATATTCAATCTAACGGTGAAATTATAAAAGTACCAACCTATCTTATCGATTCAGCTTGTATCGTCATTCGTTTAGTTTATATAATGTCCGATAGAGGCCGCAGAGTTCACGCCACAGAAGTTCATGCGTTCGTCAACAATTTTTTCCATGTAGTGATCCCGGGGCCGGGTTAGGCCGTTGCTGTGAGCAGCCATTCGCGCTGTTCATTGCAATCAGTTGAGAGGTGGAAGTTGCAGTGGACGGTTGGTTGTGGTGTTACGGAGAAGTGTTTGTGGAGCGCTATTAAATTTCCGTAACCGTTCAGTATTGCTGTGAGTGGTAGTGTTCGTAGGTGAAGCCAGCAATATGGATACTGGCAGTGGAAATGCTGGATCATCAGATGCCACAAAAACAAATTCAAACTCTACATCTGAAAGTTCTCAGCATTCGGGGTGTGGCTGTGCTTCAGGAACAACCATTACTGTTCGCGTCACGCCAACAACAGGGGGCCAGTTCGATCTTCAAGTGGCAAAAACAGAAAGTGTTGAAAACTTGAAGAAACTAATATCCAAAAAACTTAAAGTGCCGAAAGAACGGATATGTTTGCTTCATAGGGACAGGTGAGTGATATGTCTTAATGGTTTTAATTTGGAAACTTGCGAGATCGTGAGTCGTAAATGTAATTCAAGTGCACTGTGGCAACGCCGAAGACCCTATCAGCTGTGATGACGTAGTCGAAGTAGGCTGTGGTACAGTGTATAAAATGGCTGAATGTTATATAATTTGAAGTCACTGAAGAGCGATGGAGTTCTGCTTGTTTATACTTATGTGTAGTTATACATTTACCATTGTATATAACTGCCATATGTGGTATTATTTTCTGAATATATTGCGATTATGTAATATATAATTGATTCTGTTGTAGGCAACTTCGTGATGGCACTTTGCAAGAGAATCATTTGATGGATGGAAGCAGATTAACTCTGTTACCTAGTGTTGAAACTGGTTTGCTGGTAAGTAAAATAGTATTGTGAAAATAATCGAATTGTGCTCTCAGGTGGGATCCCGCTCCGACCACAGTTAACGGTTGCGTTGGTTGTAGTTGTTTGGCCAGGTCACATTTGCCCTAGCTTATTTCTTCGTTGTAGCAGAAGGTAACAACACGCCGGGGGAACTTACTCGAGCTGGTTCCGTTTGAACCAGTTCTTAGTGGGTCATAAGTTCCAAACTGTTTCACATAATAGCCAACATCGAGTTCACGTTTTGTGACGTAACAGTATTACTTTTATATAATTTTACATCTTACGTCATTGTACAATTAATTATTTTCATAATTTTTAAAGCATATTAACAGAAGTTTAATATTTTTAGTAATATAGTAGTGTGTAATTAATTTATTGTACCAAGTTAATAAGGGAAACTTATCTTTCCCAGTTTTCTCTTGTGGGTTTAAGTACTGGACGTTTGGGCATGACGAATCTGTAATTTGTTAAGGCTACGGAACAAGTATATTACCCAGTCGTTATTTCGCAAAGCAGCTGAATTTATACACGTTACAACATTTACAATACTAGTAATATTTGGGGGATGATAGCATTTATTGCTTTCGAGCCGAAACACCACGCTGTCAAGGTATGTGGTGGAGCGAAAACGAAATACATATTTTTAACACAGAATATTAGATGCGTTAGGCACTAGGTGCTCATTAATGACTGGGAACGGGGCGTCTGCAGTAAATACCGTGCTGAGAGAAGTGGAGTAAAAGCATCGTTTGAGACGTTTGCTATTTTGCCCCCCCTCCTTTTCCGAAGCTGTAAGGGAACGTTACGAACAAGCCTAACTGCCCTGCTAGTTGGTGTTTTAAGATTGTTCGTAGTTTCATACATTTGTATCTACTGTATGCACTGAAATATTCATCAGAGAGAAAAAGCTGAAGGTGCAGATGATACACGTGCCAGAAGTTCTTTCTTTGAACCTTTTTTTTTTCCATAGAGCGGTGTTGCCGCTGTGGTACTATGGACGCGAGATGCAATACTGCTACTCGCTTTGTTGCGAAGCTTGCACAACCTGGTGGTGTTGGGTGGCTTGTCTGCTGTCATTCCCACCCCCCCCCAGCCGCTCTCATGAACATCAGCCTGCTCAAGCCAGCTTCCACGGAACAGCCCTCTTCTCCCTCCCTACAATCGTTCCTCCTGGGCCTGACTGGCCCCTGGGTCGCTTCTATAATCTGTGAAGCCCGGTGATGCATTAATCTTTCAAATAACATCGTACTGCAGTCGTTTTTATGGCATGAAGGAGAATGCGAGCTGACGCCTTGGCTGATACAGAATTATTTGGCAGCGTAAACCAAAACCGATGGTTATTTCCTGACTTTAGCTTTTGAACACTTGTGCATATGAGGTGTTCCAGTTGAGCGTTCATCAAGCTCCTCATTCTTAGTTTTCAGCATATCTGTTGAAAGATGTGTTCCCCCCCCCCAAGTTTTTAATCGACGCAAAATTAGTCTGTGAATGACGTAAAGGTGACCATTGCCCATTTATATTATTAGAGCATTGGTAACAGTAAATTGTGTATTTTTCAAGTTTCTTCATAGGACTCACACGTATGTCGCTGTGTTAGGGGATAATAGCAGATTTTAGAACCGTTGTTTTAATTGGCTTGCCGGAAAATTATTTGTGTTTGTGCTTGCGCGCATGCTCTATTTCAAGGCAAATTTATAAAAATAAATGGCGGTAGTTTGCTTTTCAGCAATATTGCGTAGCCGAGTTTACATGCATAGTTTGCATAGGCATATATTTCTCCCTATCAGAAGGAAACATTTTTTGTACCGTTGGCGGGTATGAGCTGGGAAGAAGTGCGTAACCGGAAGGAGTGAAAGTGACACGAGAGGGGGAAGTTGTCAGGAAAAATAATTTAGGTGGAGATGGAAGAGATAGCGCGAGAAACGTAGGCGGGAGGGTAATACTAAAATGGATCTTAACGTAGTTTGTGGATTGGATTAATCAGGCCCCGAATAGGAACCAGGAACACGTCAATGTTAATAAAAGGCTGAGAATTTCTTGTGCGCTTGAACGACTGCTATAAGCTTTAGCAGGAGGACTGTGGCCCCATGATGTTGGATGTTCAGTATTTTTAAGTTGGGTGATTAATTTTGGAACTGTCAGTAGTTTGCCGGAGACATTAACCGATGCTACCTGACACAGTGTTTAGGACTTGAATTCCGAACCAGGCTGTTGTATAGATGATTGATTGGAATCCGACTTCCCCATTTCATGTCGATTATTACAACTGTGCCAAGTTGAAGTAACGTTTTCGATAGACAAGACTAGCGTCGAACGGTGTAGTTTCGTTTTAGGAAGGTTGCGAGTTTGAATTTTGGCCCTGAGAACGGCCAGTTTGACTGTTTTCATTATATTTTTAAATCGCTTTGAAAAGTTTCGTCCCACAGACATTTTACGATGCAAGAAGAGACAGTTTTCGCATGCATTACAATTAATGTACCATACACTACGCGTACGTTTACATGTAAGCCGAGTGGATCCATCTGTGTGTTATATATTGTATATACAGTAATAGGGGCACTATGCTATACAAGCCGAAAGGTCGCGGGCTCGATTACCATTGAAATCATTGATTTTTTTTTTCAATTTCCTTAATCCATCCAGCCTCCAACAGAAATGAGTACCAGGAATCTTCTTGGGGGGGGGGTTAAGGGCGGCCGACACGTAAGGCTGACAACCTCACCGCCATTTGCAAGCCGATTGTCCAGAAAATGTGGGAGCCTCAACACTTCACAACATTATGAGCCTTCAGAGCCTGTTACAGGGATACCTTTACCTTTTTACCTTAATGTGTTTGTTGTTTGACGTAACGTCTTCAGTAGGGTAGGCCAACAATCTACTCTTTTTTATCACTGTTATTGTTGCTGTTGTTGCTACTGCTCCATTGATACACATTTTTTTATTCTGTTTATTTTGCTGGTAATAGAATGAAACGTTTGTGATGAAGTTGGTGGAGGTGGGATGTGTCTTTGCTAACTACCAATGCATTCTTCTGACGAAACATGTCTAGGATCTTTGTACTATATGTGACACTGCTTTCATCATTTTTGAACAAAACTTGATTGATTGACAATATTGAGAGAGTACCGGTTTGTGTAGCGGTATTGTGCCAGACTGGTGTCCTGGATGTACCCGGTTCGAGCCTCAGTCTAGTTACCTGTTGCCACAATTCAGTAACTTTTAGTAATTTTTCTGAGTATTTCAAGCAAATGCTTGGATATAGATGAAGCTTTAAGTAGACCAAACGAGCCCCAATCTAATCGCCGTTTGTCGATGTTTCCCATCTCATTCGACGATGTAGAGGCCTCGCTGCAGCTGTAAAAGCGTTACAAGAACTGACAATGATGGTATAGCTACTGTGCCGATAGGCGTGTATACAAATTTCAGTTGATTATGAGAGGGACAACCAACTGGCCACACGCCAGCTGATGATCTGCCCATTCCCCACGAATGTGTTGCATGTTTTCCTCATTATAAAAGACACTGAATCTTATAAAAATTATTCTGTGTAGTTTATGCATTGACTGCACAGGACGCCTAATTAATAACTTGGAGATGCGTGGAAACAGTACGGCTCCAGGATCGTGTGCAGTTTGATAAATTTAGCACCGTCGACTAGGCAGCATTTAATTCAGATAGACTTCGTTTAGCCCCGTGAGCTTGTATACCTTGGGTCTGCTTATAGCAGGTCAGATGTTTACATCGGTATGTTGGAAGAAGATATTTTTGTAATGCGGCCTGGAAGTTTGTACCTGTGGCACAGTACGTCCTATCAGCCGGACAACCTTGGATAACAATATGTAGAGAAAGTATAGATTCATGAAATTGTGGGCGATGTTGGTAAACTGAGACATCATTATGTAAGATTTGAGGTTTTCACGGCCGTGACTATGAAGAAAGCAGTCTTCTGGGATGTGGCGCCGTGTAGATATGGTGTTAACCGACGTTTCGGAAGACCGTATCGCCTCCATCTTCAGGGCGGAAGGAAAAATAAGAAAATCCGGAAATATTTTTTCCGACATTAGTCTGCTTGCACCTGCTCCCACCGTTTCTTCGCTTGCGGATTTTCTTATTCTTCCTTCTACCCTGAAGATGGAGGCGATACGTTCCTCCGAAACGTCGGTTAACACCACATCTACACGGCGCCACATCCCAGAAGACTGGTTTCTTCAGAGACATCACTGTGTCGCAGATGTCCTCCTGTTCGACCATACCTCCCACCCGAATCTTGGAAACTTCTGTGGCCATATTAGCGTCTTAATAAACGTAGTTTCACTGAATACAAGTACCTCTGTGTACGTCGGAGATACCTTTGTCATTTTTATCAGACGGCGTCATTTGACGGCTTTCCTCATGGGAACGTCGGAATAGTTGGCCTTCGGCTGCCTGGTACAGTCTCGTGTAAATTTTGGAGAAAGTTGGATTATAGTCCATGTTGTTGTTATAGTAAATAAATAGCCATGTGTTGAGTGTACTGTTATTGATGTTTATAAACTGAATCTTCTGTTCTTGCTGTTACATATGTTCCTGGCTTATCACTGATTTTCAAATGAAATGCAGTAAGACCTCAGTAATTCGGACTGATTAGCAGATAACCCTTGTCCAAATTAATGAAAGTCCGAAATACATAAGTGTTACTGAAAAGATGTTCATGGAAGTTATAAAATGGACTTTAGTGGGTTTTTAGACAATACAGCTTTATTTTGAAACATATTGCATATCGTAAAATAAATTACATAGTGTTATTGAGACTGTGCTTTGTAGAACAGAATTATTTGACTGTGATCTCTTTTGGAATGGCCTTGATGTTTGACTGGAGGCCTACAAGAATCTACCGTCATCCGTGCCAGTGCGACACGCGACGATGTGATTATCAGGGTTCTAATGCGAAAAAAAACGATTGTCCGAATTATCGCGAATTTCATATTAGTGAGGTTTCACTGTGTTTGATT